AGTGTGTAAGAACACTGTCTTCTTACAAGAAGCCAACTGTGCAAAGGTAGAAGAGAATGAACTGAAATATAGCCAATAATCCCATTCATGAGATTCCTGCTCCAATAGTTTAATTGCCCACATCATAATATCCTAATATCAAAGTTAAGAATTTCAACATATAACTTTTGGGTATTTTTGTTCATTATTACTATTATTATTATTATTGATTTGGATGCCACATTCAGAGGTACTTAGATCAACATCTGCTCTTTTTTCAGGAATCACTTCATGTGATGCTTGGGGAACTGTATATGGTGTCAGAAATTGAACCTGGCTTGGTTATGAGCAAGGCACATGCCCGAACTACTGTACTAACTCTAGTTCAACATATGCATTTTGTAGGGACATACACATTCAGACTACTGAAGCAAGAAAACTACATTCTTAACATATATTTATTTATAAGTTGGTATGCACTTGAAATCATCAGCTATGAGAAATATTCTATACAACAGTCATTATCATTGACTATCTCACTGGATACTATAGGACAGATACACATCTTTTATTCAAATGGATATTTAAATATTTCCCAGTTTTAAAAAATATTTATGCAATCTGTATTTTTTAAAAATATATTAAAATATTTAATATTAAAATACTTTTAAAATTCTATTTGTTGATTTTTTAATAAGGCAAATATTTAATATCTGAGAAATAGTACAGTTTCTAGGTTTCTTGCTTTGCATGTTGCTGAACTGGGTTCAACTGTGGGCATCACAAATGGATAGACTTGCCTTGCATGATGCCAATGTGATTTGAACCCAACACCACATAAGATTTCCCAACACTGGCAGGAATTATCCCTGAGTGTAGAGAGATGAGTAAGCCCTGAGAACTTTCAAGTGTGGCTCAAAACACCAGGCCAACATGCCCCAAAAATCACAAAATAATATATAGTTAATATATCATTTATGTCAATTTAGTTTGATCCTAAGTACAAAGCCATCTGAAGATATTTTGTTAATTCTTACAGAGCTTTTATTAGTTTTTTTATTAGTTTATCTCCCCAGCATTATGCTAAGTATTAAAAAATAAAACTTACCTTTGGTTCTCTGAAATCAGGAATTCAAAATATACTTTGAGCACACTTAATTATCAGATTCCATAAAAGCAGTCTGTATAAAATATTATCATAATACACAGGGTGTGAACAAGTAGACTGAGAAGATTTTGACTGGGAGTTGGGTTGCAAAAACATTAGTTTCATGTTATATACCAAGTCTTTCCTCATTGAGAATGTGCAGAAATGTGTTGATTCAAAATAACTAGTTTAAACAAAATTGAAATCAGCCAAAAATTATGCATTTCCATGCCTAAGACATACGAGTATCATTACCAATATTTGAAAACATATATTACCAGTCAAAGCCACCAAGAAAGTTTCAGATAGCTGTCAGTAGGGTAGGGTCTAACCTCCTTAGACTAAAAGACCATCAGATCAAGGATTCAAGAATTTCTTTCTACAAATGTGTAAACATACTGATAAGGCTGATGCCTTGCATGTGGCTGACCCACATTTGAACCCTGGCATTCCATAAAGTCCCCCAATCATGACCAGGCATACAGTTGGGTATGACCCACTCTCCCTAATATTTAGAAGTTTCAAAATATGTACTTCTAATATGTTAATGTTTTGAATATGGCCTATTAAAGTCACGCGGGTTCCGGGGCCGAGATCTCCAAGCCTACTCGGATTTGGGCCGAGCATCCTCCACCCAGATGGTCCAAATTCCAGTAGGTGGGGGTCACACCCACCAACGGACCCCCTGGCACCGTGTAATCCCATCAATGGCCAAGACTCAGAGACTATAAAAACCAGCTCCCGGAAGAGAACAGTGCAGTCTCCTGCCCCCGTGCCTGACTGTCCTCTCCAGACATTTTATTATGACATCTTATTATCCCATTCCTACTTTGGACAAACTGGCAGGCTACCAAATGTAGACTGCCCACATGGCAGAGTCTGGCAAACTCCCTGTGGCGTACCCAATATGCCAAGTACCAGTAACAATGATGGGTCTCATTCTCCTAAAGAGCCTTGAATATAATCTCAGGGCTAGGATGAAGGAGACGTTACTGGTGCCTGCTCGAGGCAATTGACGATTAACAGGATGATTTGTGATTTGTGAATTTGTGATGGCCTATTACATAAAAATAACCTCACAAAATAAACTCCAAAATGAAACGAACTATAATAAAAAATAAAACTAATGTTTTTCTACAGTTAAATATTCCTATATGTTTTTATAAATTATAAGTAATAACAATTATGTTTATCTATAAAGTTAATACTTTTTAAAAATTCTATTATCAGTGAATGGCAACTAAAGAAATATTTTGAACTCAAACTTAGGATGGAAATAATCACCTGTGAGTTTGTTACACAGGAAACTTTATTTCAGTGAGACTAAGCTCAAGAAAATTACAATACACACAGAAGCAAAGGCAAACTAGTAGAAATTTTTTCCTCAGAATTTGGGGAAAGAAAATTTGGTACTGTATAACAGACACCGCTCAGTTCTATTTTAGATTCTATTCCCAATACCCAAAATAGTAACTGGCACAGAGCAGGAATTCAATAAATTATCTTGTTTTTACTTTCTTGTCACCTATTGTGTTGAGATTGGTATTTGTTAAAAAGTATAAATATAGCAAAAATAATCTTACGTAGCACTTTATATATCAAGATATTGTTCTAAGTTTTATTATCTCATATTTTATAAATATACCATTATAATTGGTTTTATATTTTAGCTCCTCCAAAATATTTTAGACAAAGATTTAAACTCACACTAAAAGAAAATTTAAAGCAATGATTATTATTACTTTGAATTTAAGTGCTGATTTTATATAATAAACATTCATGCAAAAGCTCCAATTTTTTTTAATTTAAACTTTTTTTTAATTATTCTATATACAACACCTATAGTAGGCATGGAGCTCAAGAGACATAAAAAAGAAAAATGTTTCTATTTTTTTTTATATTTATTTAATCACTGTGGGAAAAGTTACAAAGCTTTCTGGTTTAAGTCTCGGCCATTTAATGATCAAACACCTTTCCCTTCACCAGTACTTATTTTTCACCACCAAGAAGCCCAATATATCCCCCTCTCACCCCTCCCAATACCTGTGAGGCAGATGAATTCTACTTAACTTTCTATCTACTCTGATTACATTCATTATTTTGACAAAAGATGCACCATAATTGTTTAGAGTTTCCACCCAACAATCAGAATTGCTGAAAAGGCATTGTGAAATAATTTGTTTTCTATAGCTGGTTATGAGATCCAAATGATGCCGTGTGGCTGCAATAGCGGCTGTGTGATTTTGGATTTCTGATATTTTACTTATTAAGTCTGGAGGGATTTCTACAAAGAGTCAGATAATTATGAGATTGGTTTCTATGGCTTTGGAGCCATGACTGTGCTGGAAAGCCGCTCGTGGGTGGCAACTCATGACCTCGGTAAGGCGTGAAGGATGAACTGGGAATGCCCCCCGTCCCATGCGGTTGCAGTTGCCCCGTCACCACCAGCTCATACCTGGCTTTCCAATAAGCTCCGAGGCAGCCACCATCCTGCTGCCCCCCGGGGGGGGGGAAGGTGGAAAGGTGTGACACCCCATCCCTCCCGGGGAGGCACATATAGTCCATTCACTTTTCTGCCACAAGCTGCTGGGTTCTGCTTGCTTTTTTTTTTTTAATGCAGAAAAGCTCCAATTTTTGACAAGTACAAATATGTCTATTTTCACAAAATTCAATAAAGCTTACATTTGGTGGTAAATATGAATTCTTAATTATTTCATAAGTATTAGACCACAGTAAATTACAGAGTTACATGGTGCTTTTAATAAACATCATAATTTAAATAAGAGTCCCACTTTCTCTTTATTTTCATTATTAGAACTGGTAGTGGGCTTTTTGATTTCCCAAGGCAGTATTATTATAATACAACAATGTTTTCTCAACTGCCAAAGCTTCCACTATGACTGTGTTCTAAGATTAATACATCTAAGAAGAATGGTTACCAGTAAATTCCCCTGAAACATAGATAGTGAAGTCAAGTTAAGCCAACTATCACATACACTTACTCTAGCACATCAGTGTAGTAGGTGACTCCAAACTCATATATTAAATGATTGAAGTAGATAGTCAAGTATTGGGGGAGGCTTGGTAGTGAATTTCATGAAGTCATAAGACCACGAAGTGTTTGGAGAGATAATATTTGATATAAAAGTAACTACTCTGCGACCAATTTTGCGTCAGATAGCACAATGGTAGGGTGTTTGCCTTGCACGTGGCCAACTTGGCTAACCTGAGTTTGATTCCTCTGCCCCTCTCGAAGAGCCTAGCAAGCTGCTGAGAGTATCTCACCCACCCGCAAAGACTGGCAAGCTCCCCGTCACATATTCGATATGCCAAACACAGTAACAACATATCTCACAATGGAGACATAAGTCGGTCTGCTCGAACAAATCAATGAACAACAGGAGGACAGTGCTACAGTGCTACCTTCTCAAAGTCCAAGGACAGGACATAATTCATAGGCAAGTAAAACATTTCAGTTAAGACTCAAAGAAGGAAGAAATCACTCAAATTCAATTTTTTTCATTGATATGATCCTAACAGTGGCTCTTCAGAGTTCAAACCAAATCAACTTGGAAAATACCCCCCCACATAACCAGCTTTCCAAAGCGACTCAGGGCCTGCCATTCTGGAGTTGCCTGCACTCCTATTATGGGTACGCAAGCTCTTTTACTTTTCTGTTATACCAATCATAGTGCCTCTGTTTGCTTGTTCTCTTAAAATTCTTTCTACTATTTACTAAGTAGGGCTTGCTTGTTTAAGACACATTGGTAAAATCATCTAGTACATTCTGAGAAATTTAAATTTAATATATAGAAAGTATAAAAAGATAGTTCAAATAGATAAAATCCTTTGGGATGTGATTTTTTTAATAATAACGATTCAGATTGTATTCTCTGTCCCTCACTCTTCCAAGGAAAAAGAAGAACTATCATCAATGTAAAAGGCTATTTGGAAAGCAACACCTAGAACAGGATTCATGCTCAGGAGAGAGAGTTCTTTTCCTCCTCCTTATGGTTTCAAGGAATCTAAATAATCAGAGAAACTTGAAGTGATAGCACAGCGGGTAGGGCATTCGCCTTGCACGCAGCCAACATGGCCGATCTGAGTTCAATTCCTCTGCCCCTCTGGGAGAGCTGGGCAAGCTACAAAGAGTATCAGAGTATCTCGCCTGCAAGACAGAGCCTGGCAAGCTACCCGTGACGTATTCGATATGCCAGACACAGTAGCAACAAGTCTCACAATGGAGATGTTACTGGCCCACTCGAGCAAATTGATGAACAACAGGAGGACAGTGACAGTGACAGAAGAGTTTAAAAGTGTTCTGCTATTCAAGATTTTGAGAACTGAATTGGTCTACAGAATGGAACTAATCCATTGGTGGTGGGATATGGAAACTGGTGGAAAGATGGGTGTTAGATAATTGTATGACTGAAACCTGCTCATGAAAACAGCTTTGTAACTGTGTATCTCATGGTTACTCAACAAAAAAAAAATAGTTTAAAAACATGAACTGAGTTGATTTGTTGGGTAGGGTCCTTGGGAAATTGTTGGATGGAAGTGATACTATGGTGATGGGTGTGATTTTAGAACAACATACAGGAAATTACTATTAAAAAAGTATTGTAAATCATGCTTTGTCAATAAACATGGGGAACTTACCATTTCCATAAAAGTACTGAATGGCCTGAACAAAAACAATGACCTCTTAGTACCTTATTGCAAACCATAATTCACAAAAGAACAGAGAGAGATAGAGAGAGAGAAAGAAGAAAAGGACCTGCCATAGAAGGAGGCTGGAGGTCGAGGTAGGGTGTTGGCAGATGGTGGGAGGGAAAGGGAAACAGGGGACATTTGTGCTGAGAAGTATACACTGATGGAGGGATGTATATTGGATCATTGTATGACTGAAAATCATGGACAGCTTTGTAATGATGTATCTCACGAATATTCAACTATATTTTTTAAAAAATAATATGGATTTCATGCCTGCTTCAGTCAGTTTAATCAGTGGCTGAATAAATAGCAGTACTCCCATTTTTAAAGAACAGGGAACAATACTTTAGAAAGCACAACAAAATACAAGCCAACTCTTAGTGCTCCCAGAAGACACTTTCTAAGGCATGCCCAGTTATTAATGTTCCCTGAATTCAGTTAGAATAAATAGCTCTTACCATCTCCCTTATTAAATAAAAAGTCCAAGGCTAAAAGACATTATATAATTGAGAACCATCACTCAATAAATTTGTGGTCTATTCTTTCACCATGGGGAATGTGTGTATGGTCTAATGGAACTTTATCGGAGTAAGTCAAATATGTATTTGACTTGGTATATTTTTGATTCTTTTATGTATTAGGACCTCTTAAGATTGGGGACATAAATTTTTATAACATTTTTTATTTGGAAATGAAAATTTAAAAGCAGGTTGATGGTGATTTGACTTCTGGAGCACAATGTTATTTAAAGTACTGGCATTACGGGAGTCACTTATTTGCTTTCAAATAGGCAGGGTTCGTTAATTCCACCACTTCTTTTTCTTCTTCCCTCTGCTTTTCCCCAAGTCAATTAACAAGCAAAAAGGGGGTATGATAAGAGGCAGCAAGACAAGTGAGGCGGGGGGCAGCACTGAAATATGATAGTCTAAAGGTACAGGAACAATTAGATTCTAAAGTCTGAGCATTGCATACTCTACCCTTTATCGCCTATTAAATCTATTGGTACCTTGCTCTTCTTATATATAAAATGTTAACCTTTTGAATTTTTAATAACTATAACTTTATACACTTTTGTAAAATGTGAGGTTGTAAAATAAAAGTACATTCTTTGGTTCTTATAAATCATTTGTTACTTATCAGAAGTAACGGATTCAATATTAATGAAGCTTGTGTTTGCTAATCTATAAAATAATGACTGTAAAATGATCTTGTTTCAAACATATTACAATCACATTTTATGTACCCTTAACAGAATTTTCATGTTCCATATTTTCTGAAGCATAACTTTAGCTAACAAAAGAAAAGCTCAAATTTATAACTTGATGTTTTAAATATTCTCAGATATTAACTATTAAAGGTTCAAAAAACATAGTGTTCAGTGTTTATATAATTCCTGCACTTTTTCACAGGACAATACTGGTAGTGCCTTTTGCCAATATCTGAAAAGTTAAACATAAAAACCAGAGCTCATGATCTTTATGCTAGTCAATATCTATTCTGAACACATTTCTTTTTTATAGCAGTTCTGCAAATCAGAATCCTGATTACCTACAAGTTGCATTTTTCCTCAGAATCTCTTCTAATTAGTTTTGTTTTCTTGCTTTGCAATTTCTTTCTAACTATTTATCCAAATACCCTAAACATTTTTTAGCATTCCCCATTGCAATCAAGCTTTTCAATATTTTGGTCAAATGCATTCACTTCTGTCTAAGGTAGAGGTGGAGGTGTTCCAACATTTCATTATTCTACAAAGTTAAACCAAAATTAAGCTTATTTTATTGTCCTCAGGCTTGAATTTCCAATTTGTACCTTCAAGTCATTATATACAATTACTGCATCTGAGGTAGTCTGGCTCTACCTTTTTGCAATTGGTTATTTCCCAGGCCTCCCTCTCAAATCTAGCTTACCTCATCTATTGTAATTGCAGAAAATGGGTGATGTTTTGTTGGGACCTCAGCCAGGAAAAATTTGGAATGGATTAGGAGCTAGAGGAAATCATGGGGAAGGTGAGACTTAAGCTCACATAAAGTTAGATGACTGTACTCTTGATAATATTGACAAATTAAGTTTATAGTTATGACTGGCAGAGAAGGGCTGGTAGCATGAAAATAGTACATAAAAGCAGTCCGCTGAGAATCATGAGTGTGACTGTATATCAATGCAGAAGCATAAGGAGTTTCCAAGGAGGCTGGCTGCTTTGTTAGGAATTCACTTTTGCTCATTATCTCCCTCCACCCTCAGTAATTACACTATCAAATAACAAAATTACAATTTATATGGAAGGACTATTCAGAAATCTGAAGAAAGGTACCATCCCACGCTGGCAAGTGGGATGGACTGTTTATAATAGCGCACCTCGTGGTCATAAGTTCTGCAAACATTCTTTGTAGTGAGACAAAAATGGATTTCTTTTAGAGAGAGGCAAGACATAACTAGCTGTGGACAGGAGACATGAAAGGATGGTGTCACAGGATAACAGATCAGACAGAGAATGTCTTGCTCCGAAGCCATTCTATCTTAAGAGGAGCCTTTTTCTGCATGGAAGTGAGTCAATCTTCAGGAGTCTGGACAGAGGACAAAAGCTACATTAAAATATTATTATAGTTGGTCAGTGGAGACAAAATTTTCAGCCAGTCATTTTGTGCTCTTACTAGGAGTCAAAAAGACTGATTTTACTCTATGTAAACAAGGGGAAAATCTAACTTACACTAGTCCGGTTGTTGGGGATAGGGAGGTATAAATTTTGTACCATCTTTATTTTCTATAAAAAGAAAAAGGGGTGAATATTTTTTAATATTTAATAAAGTATAATGTTATTCTCACATTTGTTAAGTACTTTCTATGAGAGTATATTGTACTGGGTATACTGGAGGTACATGCTAAAATAAGCAGATTTACCATAAATGAATCTCAGCTTTTGGGTCCTTCAATTAAAAAAAATGTAAGAGTCTTATAGCTACATATATTTCTAAATGACAGGAAAAGAAAGGTTTTGACTAAGAAATATTTCCTTGTATGTGTTCTGGAAAATAGACTAAAGAGATATTAGGAATCTTTAAACTTCAGCAGTTATTCTTATGTTGGTTGTCTTAATTCTGTATAAGTAAAGTTTTATATATTAAAGAAGTCATCCCATATCGTGAAAGCATCAGGACCCATAATATTTAGACCTGACTAAGAAAAAAATGGCTCTCAAATAATAACTTGAGTTAGAAAAATAAAACTCCAGTGAGTTAAAAATGAATCCCAGTGACACAAAACAGAATAAGCTGTACAAGGTGAAGGAGAAAAAAATGACTTGTCTAGAAGAAATGGTAGGAAAAAGAATCAACAGCAGCTGGGTCAAGTAGTTTAAAATTAAAGAAGTTACATAATAAAGAAAAATTGGTGGAAAAAAGAAAGGTATTTGAGGCAAAGGGAAAAGCATCTATAAATAAAGTGGAGATGTTACAGATGCTTTTTTCATGGAATTAATTGATTGGAAATTCACTTCATGATTCAATTTCTGTGTTTTGGGAGTGGGTTCCAGGGATTGGACCCTGGTTCTCTTCCCTATGAGACAGAAACTTTATCACTTAACTTCATTACTTTGATGCTTCAATTGAATGTCATTACCATTATAGGATACAGTAAAGGAAAAGGAGTATTTAGAAGTGAGCCTAAGCTCTATCGCAAAAGGCATTCAAATAAAAACAAAATTTGATTCTAATAAAGAAATCTTAGTACTCTCAAAAGACTAAGATCCCTTTAAAAAATTCAAATCTTCAAACATCACATTAACTTATCAATTTTACTCCTCAGAGATCTCTATTGGATTATGAAGGTCAAGACCTACCTGCTAAAATGGTTTTGTAAGATAGGAATTCATCACTACCACCACAATAACATTTCTACCTTAAAGGGCAAAAAACAGAACAAAACACAAAACCTCACATTAACTAAATAATTATTTTCTTTTTCCAGTTATATGTAAGGTTTAGGGGGTGCATTTGTTTTGGTTACATGAATATATTAACCTCTAGTTATATTATAAAATGTTCTAATATAACCTGGAAAACATTTTTTTTATTTTACTTTTGGTTTGGGAGCCATTCCCGGTGATGCTCAAGTGTTACTCCTGACTGTACACTCAAGAATCATTCCTGGAAGACGTGGGGTCCTTTATGGGTAATGGGGATCAAACCCTAGTTGGCCATGTGTAAGCCAAGAGAACTACCCTCCACACTACCTCTTTGAACCCTGGAAGATATTTTTTGAGGTGATTTCCTAATCAGTACTCAAAGGGTCATGGATCCACTCCTGGAAATAGTCTGTCAAATGGTCTGGGGTTCAGTGCAAGAATCATTAGAATAAGGTATTATTTGC